GTACTCTATATTCCCTTACTCTCATAGACCGATGGGACTGTTAACCGACACGACCGGAGAGAGATCAGGAGCACGGGGGGGCGAAACACCGCTAACTTCCTGACTCCGGGCTGATAATGAGAATTTCTTGACAGAAAAACTTAATAACTGAATTTTTTGACCCGACACGGGATTCAAACCCGGAACCTCATTATCAGCAGTCGCGTTTACGACCACTAACCAACGACGCAGTCTAATAGAAAACACGTCATTCAAGGCATATTAGTCTGTGACTTTTTATAAAACCGGACAAAAGTCGGAGTTTTGGCGGGAATTTGACCGGTGGTTTGCTGCTCCTGTATTATTGTTTAAGTAATGGTATGAAGAAGATTTTGATATGTAAATGTGGTGCGATTTTGTGTATTAAGTGTCTGCGCATGTGAGCTATTAGTAAAGGTGAAACAAGTGCTCTGATGGTGATATGATTCTCAAGATAAGGTGTCTGTCTGCTTAGGCGCCTTGAGATACCATCGCCAGCTGTCAGCTGTCTGCTGGCTCAAGCTGCCGTCAAAATCTCCCAAGAGCTGCACAATGTGACGCACTCGTATTGTGAAGCAGTATACTATACTAGAATTATTTTGTGCGTGCAGTTTAGGTCAAAAATCATCGAGGTATTTCGCTCTCTCTCCCACTCACGGCCCTTGGGGGCGAGCATAATGACGCGCATTATTGTTGTCGATAAGCGTTATCGATAGTGTATTTAGTTTTGTCATTATGTGGGTAAGTCATAAAAATGAAAAAAAAAAGATAAATCAACGTATTTATTAAAATAAGAATAATAATGATTTACAATAAATTATTAATTAGGTACCTATGTATTAAAAAAACTATAAGTACAAATGTTTGGAATTGATAATGGCGTTGCACCCGCGCAACATGCTCACCGCCCTAGCCGGGCTGAGGCCGAGCTATGATTTATGACCCCAACTGCACACACAAAATAATTTTACTATAACAAGGATAATTATACACTGTAACTTCAGGCTCAGAAGGGCTAGAACCGAGAGCCGTAAAGCCAGTTATAAAAAAATACACACCTTTTGTTGTTGATTGTTTGTAGGGATGGGCAAGGGAAAAAAATATATCGAATCGATATATTTAAACAGTATGCTATATATCGCGTGATAAATATCGATATATCGTCATCATTTGCATGATGTAAAGATAAGGTCCAAAAAAATATATTACTGACGGTTGGACGACGGAAAAAAACGACAACCAACTACATATAAATACTTACATAGTTGTTACATGTTTTGTCATTATTATATCATTTTCAAATATATCGAAATAGATACGAATTCGATACTCTAAAATAAATATCGATAAAAGCTTTTACAAAAATTTACTTCGCAAATATCCGCGTTATAAAATAAAATGATGTGTCTTACCTAGTACGAAGAGCACCTCCCGCCCTCCCTCAATTGCGTGCACTATCCCCGTCACCACTAATCCCAGCACCGCTACTCCCAACACCACTTGCGAAGTAAATTTTTGTAAAAGCTTTTATATAATGGATTTCCGCAAAGTAACGCCTGATTCTATTAATTATAATAAATATCGATATATCGCAATTTAAAATATCGACGATATATATCGATATTTTTATTAATAACAATATATATTTATTAAAAATATCGATGTATCGATATTTTTTGCCAAGCCTATTTGTTTGTTTTTTGAATCAAAGCTTGATTGAAGCAATTTAAATTTAAAAGGCTTATTACATTACACGATTTATCGGGCCCTGTCCATCGTGTGCCCTGCCTACCAGACAGGGCGCTGCTTATTACACTACGCTAGAAATCGCTTCCTGCCTCAGTTGTTACTCGAACGTGGAAATGATTGCACGTCTAGCATTATGGCGCAGACTTTATCTATACGTCAAAAAATTGCTTTATTGTTTTTTAAGTGGTAGAGACATGCTACAGCTATATTAGTAGTATAGTTGTAGCACGAATGGGTCGGCTCGACCGGTGAAGGACCACGCTTTCACAGAATACCAGCGTAAAATAGCAGCTTAACACTGCTGTGTTTCGTATGGTGAGTGTAGAGAACCGGAGACCCTTTTTACTGGAATAGAGGCATTCCATCTCAGTCCTCACGGGTGAAAACGCATCTGCATTTTGATTCGCATACGAGGATAAATGTAGGTGTCTATGGGCCACAGCAACCACTTACCATCGGGTGGACTGTGTGCTCGTTTGTCACCCTATCCTATAAAAAAAAAAAAACTTTGGCTGGCGGTAACGTGCAAGGCCAAGCTAAAAAAAGGAAGGAAAGTTAAATGTGGATGAAAAAATATTTGCTCCTCAGAGAAAAACTATTGAATATGCAAATAGTCAGCGTTTTGGATCCAACAGACCTACGAAACTATTTTAAAGAGTAGGTGAAAACCAATTCGACGAGTTATTAAGCTTAGTAATGCCTTTAATAGAAAAAAAATACTTTAATGATTTCCTATATTTACGCGAACACATTGAATAAAACTACTTGTATGGATTCTATCGCGTTTAATTTTTTTTTATTAATTCCCGACGTTTCGGATGCTTTACAGCAACCAGTCCCCCGTGACCATGGGTGGTAAAGCACCCGAAACTTCGGGAATTAATAAAAAAAATTAAACGCGATAGAATCCGTAAAAGAAGTTTTATTCAAAAGAATACTTTTTTAAGAGAGATTTGTTGTCACTTTACGATTTTGGCCACTGGAAACTCCTATCAAGATTTGATAAGGCATTTCTTTGTAGATGTCGATGACATTGAGAAGGATCTTTTTCTTTAGCGCATGACATAAATACGAGTAATGATTTAGAGAGTAGATCGACATAGTAGAACTTTAAATAAACAAACGTGTAGACTCTGCACATGCGGCCACGCAACTGAGCTCCCTGCCTCCCTGTCTCTTATTACACTACACGATCCACAGCGCGGCAGGGAAGCAGGGCGGTCGGAACCACTCGGTCGCCCTGTTTAGGGACCCTGACTCCCTGTTTCTTATTACACTACCCTGTCCCTGCGGGCAGGGCCCGAGAAATCGTGTAATGTAATAAGCCTTTAAAGGCGGTTCCGACCGCCCTGCTTCCCTGCCGCGCTGTGGATCGTGTAGTGTAATAAAAGACAGGGAGGCAGGGAGCTCAGTTGCGTGGCCGCATGCGCAGAGTCTACACGTTTGTTTATTTAAAGTTCTACTATGTCGATCTACTCTCTAAATCAATACTCGTATTTATGTCATGCGCTAAAGAAAAAGATCCTTCTCAATGTCATCGACATCTACAAAGAAATGCCTTATTAAATCTTGATACGAGTTTCCAGTGGCCAAAATCGTAAAGTGACAACCAATCTCTCTTAAAAAAGTATTCTTTTGAATAAAACTTCTTTTACGAATTCTATCGCGTTTAATTTTTGTTTTATTAATTCCCGGCGTTTCGGGTGCTTTACCACCCATGGTCACGGGGGACTGGTTGCTGTAAAGCATCCGAAACATCGGGAATTAATAAAAAAAAATTAAACGCGATAGAATCCATACAAGTAGTTTTATTTAATGTGTAGTGTTCGCGTAAATATAGGAAATCATTAAAGTATTTTTTTTTTTCTATTAAAGGCGTCCAGTAAAAAGGGTCTCCGGTTCTCTACATTCACCATACAAAACACAGCAGTGTTAAGCTGCTATTTTACCGTGGTATTCTGTGAGAGCGTGGTCCTTCCCCGGTCGAGCCGACCCATTCGTGCTACAACTATACTACTAATATAGCTGTAGCATGGCTCTACCACGTAAAAAAAATAATAAAGTAATTTTTTCACGATTAGATAAAGTCTGCGCCATAATGCTAGACGTGCAATCATTTCCACGTTCGAGTAACAATATATAATGTACTCTGTGGTAACAACTGAGGCAGGAAGCGATTTCTAGCGTAGTGTAATAAGCAGCAGGCGTAGGACAGTTGCCTTGAACCACAAAAATTTAATGGATGGTGGCGCCATCCATAACTTGTTTCCAAAAATAATTTGTTTATAGTTGGTCTTATGGCTTCACAGATGTCGCTACTTTGGAAAAATAAAATGAAATTTACTTACAAAATAAAAATAAGTGCACCAAAAAATTATTGGTGATTTTATTTATAAAAAATTATAATTTTAACATAAAAACACGTAATAATTATCGAATCAATCGATAAATATGACAATTATGATACTGGCAACCAGCATTTTATAATAAAAAATAAAAATAAAAAATGAAATAATTGTCATATTAAATTGTCATTCCTGTAACATCGCAAATACCCTTTTTATATATTATTATCTCACAAATACAAGTGTACTTATTGAAACTATTTACCTACTTTTATATTAAAAGTATAAATTATTTTACAAAAAAAAGTAAAAATTGTTTCAGTAAGTATGCGAATTAAAGAACATAATAGTTAAATTAATATGATGTACATAATATAGCTATATATAGCGAATTAGTTCGGATTCAATTTGTAGGAGACGCTAGTAGTTCAATTTTGTCTGCAATAAAATATCGTCAGAGGGCTCTCTTTTCCTGTATATACTTATTATACTCTTTGATAAGCAGCGCCCTGTCTGGTAGGCAGGGCACACGATGGACAGGGCCCGATAAATCGTGTAATGTAATAAGCCTTTTAGAATGATCATTTTCATTGTTCAAATCACAGAGTACATTATATTGGTTCAAATCAAACTGGTGGAAGTTGGGTGGAAGTGGAAACTGGAAACTACCTTATGCTTAGCTATATAGTATATTATCTATGGTGGAAACAATTCCTGCAAGTGCAAAAACTTCGCTAGAAAAGAGAATATAACCACTATAATACGTTTATTCGCTAGGAGTAAAAAAAAAAAAGAGTATTCTGTGAAGTGCAATAACCTAAATTTTTCTTAGGTCATTGGATTCAACTGATTCGAATTTGAAATTGATAAATCATTAAGTAGTAAATTATGGATAGGATATTAGGCCTGCAGAAGATATTTTCTAAAGAGTATCAAGACTCAAGTCTTACTGATCTACTACTCAGTTTAAAAAACTTGTTTTCAGACAAAAACTGTATGAATAATAGTAGTAAGGAGTCATTTGATCTGGATATTATTAATAGAAATTATTTTGAAGAAGTAAAACAAGTTGAATCTTTACCAAATGTTACTGTTTATTTTGGTAAAACATTAACAGAACTGAAATTTGTTATTATAGACGATGATGGTGTGAGGGAACATGAAATTAATTTGAAATATAAAGGTGTACAAAAATATGTAATTACCTCGGTTAATTTACCTCATTCACCATATCAGGACAAGGTTTTTAACTCCATAAATGAAATTTTACACATTTTTAGAGATCATGTGAATAGTCTAAGTAATTATTTTAGAGAGTTAGAGCGTATTGATCAGTTTTGTTCTGTTGTAGAACCCTTAAATCCTACCTTTAAAGATGACTACAGAAAAATATTTCTCGGTTTGTTTTTTGATATCACTATTTTGCATTTGGAGAAACAACTGTTGTAACAAACACTTTATAATGGATTTTAACAGATAATAGGACATGGCTCCATGTTACTGTAACTCCAGATGGAACAGCAACAAATATTCATCTCATAGGTCAGTCAGAATTTTGGCATGATAAATTGCAATCAGGCCTTTTGTCTTGGGATCATGATAAGGACATTGTTGACAATATTATGATCATATTTGGTATTACTTTGTTTTTGTAATTTATTAAATTATTAAAATACAGCAACATATTTATTTCTCATTATTTTTTAGATTTACCTAATGTATTATCAGCAGTACATGAAGGGAATCCATCAAAATATGTTTCATCAGAAGAGGATAAACAAATGTGTGGAATTTGTTTATGTAATGAATTGCCAGATAATCCAGGTGTACCCCAGCCACTGTGTCAGAACACTGCCTGTGGTGTTTTCTTTCATAGAAGTTGCTTATATGAGGTTATTGAACAATTCTTTATTTTTCATGTAATATTAGTATACTAAAATAAAGTAGGTAGTAAATAAGTCCAGGTAATGTGATATTATGTAATTTTTTTACTCTCCTGTTGTTTATTTATGATAGTCCCCATTTCTCTTTAACTTAAGAGGCCCAAGGGTAACAAAATCCTGACACCCTGTGTTATGGTCCCTAATTCATATTAAAAAAAAAATCAGGTTCTGGGGCTATTTTATATATTTTATTTCACACCATCAATGTTATTGAATTGCTTATTTGTTTTAAAATTTTACTCATGAATAAGATGTGAAAGCATCATCATCATCAACATATAGGTTGTTCTAAAAATTTACTATATTTGAAATTACTTGGAAGACTGGGACATATTCATGATGCTGGAAATAAAGTGCAGAAGTGATATTTGTAATGTACTGTTCATTGCAATCTGTGAAGTTTGTCCTAAGCATTTCTGGATGGATTTTCCAGCATCAATTGGGCACCAGACTTGTGCATTAATCAGGAGAGTGCATTAGTTGTTTCATTCCAATGAAAATTATCAATATTAATATTTTGTAGTAAATGTTTAATATAAATTTTATTTATTTTAGTGGCTTGTCGCTTGCACTGGAGGTCGTCCACCAACATTTGGAGTTGCTACTGGTAGCTGTCCAACATGTTTTCACCCAATTGCATGTAGTGAAAAAGAAGATTAAATAAATGTGTTACATAATATCTATTTGAAAGTTTTTGTTGATTTCAAATGTATTTTTTTTAATGTTTTCATGCTTTACAAAAAATATTGACTAAAAAGAGCGAGTACCTACTTTGAGAATAATGCAATTTTATATTCAACATATTTTTGAAAGGATACATTTTTGTGACAGTCGAATTAGGTATACAAGAGTAATTTTACAGAAAAATAGCCTTAAATAGCTTTTGCCCGCAACTTCGTCCATGTAGTTATTATACTTTAAACCATATGTAGGTGATCCATCAATAATCACACTTTCATAGTAAATTTCATCACCCTCTTTTGGGATGATTTTGGTGATCAAAGCTATCCTATTTTCTTCCCCGGGAATTAAACTATCTCGATACCAAATTTAATCTACATCGGTTCAGCGGTTTAAGCGTGAAGAGGTACATATGCTCACGAGGCGATGAGCGATGTTTTCCCTCACATCGCCCGCAGTACCCCCGACCGACCAGCGCGCTCCGGACCGCACAATTTAATATCCTCATTACTTTTAAAATATTTGACCAAATTACGTAATTTAAAAGAAAAAGTTTATATTATTTATAGTATACTGTATTTATAGTGTAGTTTTTCCAATTCCAATACACATTAAGTATATTTGTGTAACTCTTACATTTATTGCACCACACGCCAAAATAGCTAATATATTTTGACCAATTTACACAATGTCTTTATTAATGATAGCATATGTGTTGTTCTGATGTGTGAGCTATATTATTGTAAAGTGTCATTAAAATACATTAAGTATTTTTTGCGGGGAAGAGTAATAAACATTCAAACATTCTGACAAACTTTCACGTTTATAATATTAGTAGGATTAACTAGATGTGTGTTGGCAGCGTAAAAGAATCCATCACCTCTTTTGATTTCGTGGGTGACGTTAGAGGGGATAACTAGAATCGTCTGAAAGATTTTTACTTCTTTGCGATACGTCTGGTAGCTACAGTAATCGTCAAACCACCAGCCAAGCGTAGTAATGAAGGAAACTCCTCATTTTCATGGAAGACCCATGCTCAGCAGTCGTCTTTTACGGGCTGAAGAAGAAGATACTAGAAACGTGTGCATACATGGTAATTTGGCCCGCTGTGTTTGACTGCGTCGTTGGTTTTGGGGTCGTAATCGCGATAACTGAACATGTAGTCCCAGGTTTGAATACCAGGTCGGGCCAAATTCAGTTGTTGTTATTAGGATTTTCTATCAAGAAATTCTCAGTAGTTACCAGAGTCAGAAAGTTGGCGGGGTTTCAGCCTGTGCCGCGGAAAACACTTAAAGCCTTTGGTCCTGCACATGATCTCTCCGGTCGGGTCGGATTACCGTCCCAGTAGACTATGAGAGTGAGGGAAAAGAATGCACCTGTACTTGCGCCAACACTCGCGCACTATAATCCTGTCCTGGTGAGATGGCTAGTGTCTGTTGATATCGGGCGCCGTGACATTGAAATTCGGTATGGAGGACATTTTTATTATGGGATACATACCTATATACCTACAAAAATATATATATAAACGTAATATACTATACCTAAACATAAATACTGTTTGAGAGCCAACTACTGGTATAATTTCGACAACTTTGGACGACATACCACCCCACATATCAGTCACCCCGTGAGATTGGTCCATGTATTTTGTTGTGTAACCTGTTTCAGCTTTCTCGAGTCTAACGCAATGGTAATGTCGACGAGAAATATCTAGCTGCGCCAGGTACATCAATATAACATCAAGTTTATATTCGTAAAAATAGTGTGTGTGATGATCACGAGTCGAAAGTGGCGTGGTTACGATAACAGGTTCCAGCGTGTACTTATTTATAGTAAAGGCCGTTTCGGATCCACGAGACCGTACTTTAGAGCGAGTTGTTGGTGTAGTATTATGGCTACTAGGTTGTGTCTATGCTATTCTCAGTTACAAAGCGCAGAACAACCAAAGATGGCATGCCTAAGTAAGTCCCCTGGATGGCGACAAGCTCGACAGATGTCTACGGTGCCATATTTTAAAATGTATCTCCGATCGTTGTTGGTTATAGTAACCTGATCCTGTATCACACAGACAAATCCTCAGTTTCCCCAAACAGGTCGCCGAAACATAACCAGCAAAGGGAGGGAGTTATGTCTACGAAAGTTTCGTGTAGAGCCTTTTAAAACCTTTCGTGAAGCTCCTTCTCTTTCTATACGGTCTCGTGGTCGGAAATATTATGTAATATAAAATATAATACCCGGGTCATGCCATTACTCGTTGGCAAGGATAAAGTTTAAATGTTTTATCACTCGAAATGAGGTCTTGTAATATTAGTAATTACAGAGGCTGCACACTTCGCAATTATGCAAGGTGAGGGCGCTTAGGTAGTCACGCCTGTCATACTTTCGCGGCAGTTAAAACTCATTACCGACGATGATGCATGAGCAGAAGTTTTTTTAGCAATAATTTTTGGGAACCAATCTGATATTCGTGCTAGAGTATTGTGTACGTCGTCAAAATTTAATATGCTGGATTAGCGAAGAACCAGCGTCAGTTATAGATCAGCCTTTTTACACAGCCATATCGCTTTTCATGTAACAAATTATTGATGTTGAAAAATGTAGTTACTTGATTCAACATAATTTTTCAAATATTTTAAAAAACACATTTAAAATTGTTACTGGTCTTGAGTTCGAAGGGTTTGCTTTAAATAAAGGTACTATTATTTATCACATTTCATGAAATAAGGAACACACAATTATCCATCGCCAGTTCCGTTTCGATAGTATTACTAAAATCACAAATGATTGTTAGTAATTCCCTAAGATGAGAGTGACTGGAGGCAAATAATTTGAGATCACTAATATGGAAAAGGTAAGGGAAGGGAGGTTCTGTAGCTCACCAGTACTGGTCAGAGAGAAGCAAAACTAGGTCGGGCTTAAACAATCACCCTGGCAGATACCCCTATGTATAGCCTTATTTGGTATTCCGCATTCGTCATCCACCCGTCTCAAGATGACAAATGATCCTACTTCACTGCCCTATAAAGATTAGACACAAACTAATTAGAAATATAGCCGACACCTTGAACTTGGTTGTTGCCAGGATTATGTACATACCTTCAGTCTGATTATATTGGTAGGTGTAGGTACCTAGCAGTGTGCATATGTAAATACAAAGGTCTGAAAAAGTTCAACATTAAGTACCCGAATTAGTCTGAACCATCTGTTTAAGATACTGATTTCTCTGGGGTTCAGAATTCAGATCAGACCTCCCAGATGATATATATTTTACTTCATTTGATTTTCTTTTTCTTGTCAAAAACTATTTGTTTAAGGATCCTGTCATACTTTGCAGGATAGGAGATTCGTTGTAAAATCTTTCAATCATACATGTACGATGCATCCTGCTATTAGGTATCTACTACAAAAGTTGAGTTTTGAATCTGATTGCAGCTAATATTGCTTTTGTTGAATGTGTTAATGAGGTGGAGCGTGGTCTCCAGGGCTACCATAAGAGCAGTCCTTGAGCAGCCATATAAGTTCACTTCGTTGGTTTTGGTTTACATTATCGTATTTTTATCTAAAAGAACCACGCTGCAGTATATTATAGTCGCAGCACGAATGGGATGGATGAACCGGGATACCACGCCCGCACTGAATACCAGCGTGAAATAGTAGCAGTTTCGTTTTGGTGAGCGACGACAATCTAAGACTTTACCCTTAACAAGGCATTCAAGTACTAACATATGAACTAAGAATATAACTAAGTGGCGTAAATGTGTAGGCGAAAACATACGGACAAATGCTAACTCCGAAAGTAAAATTTCTGATAGCAAACTTATAAAAGCTAAGTAGTATAACAAAGGAGATCTGGTAAGACAAATGATGGACGCCGCAGAAAACTATTGCCTACTGTTAAATACCCTTTTCAAATAAAAAAAAATGCCTTCGACAAGATAATAGATCCGCTAGACTTGCTGGTATTACAATAAAATAAAATAAAACAGTTTTAACGATTTATTTATTTCTGCAGAACAATAAATTACATAATTAATAATGTACAACAAAACATGGTAAATTTCTGATAATGGTATGGCCTAAGTTAATAATGTCATAATCTAAATGTGTTTACAATTCATCTACAAATGGGACAAATGCGAGGTTTCCTGCTGCTCCCATTGATATTTTATTTTTGGCAGCATTAGACAGAGCCTGTAAAAAATAATTAATAGAATATTATTGGTTAACCTGTATAAATATTATGTGTTCTACGAATAGATTTTGTTAGAAGTTAATAAGAAAGATTTTTTATAAAATAAATAGACAAACGAACTTAAATTCCCCATAGACACATGGAACATCTGCTACCGACTTCAAACAAAGAAGCCCACAGAACTACAAATGTGTTGCCTCTTAATAAATTTAAAAGCAGACTTTTTATGTGGTTGGTGGACAGGGCTTTCTATAATATTACAAATAAATTCACTTGACCATGAATGTAATGTTTGTAATGTATTATGATTTTAAATATGACTACTATAATAATAAAAACAATTGTACTGTTTAAATAATAACTAATTTTAATTCAATTCAATCTAATGTTTGTAATGTATTATGATTTTATATATGAATACTATAATAATAATAATTGTACTGTTTAAATAATAACTAATTTTAATTCAACTGATCCTATACTTAAATATTTGCACGTCCTAACAGGACAAAACATGTCGTTTTATGCAAATAAATGATTCTTGATTCTTGTTGTTACTCTCTTTTCTGAGTGACTTCTTATGGCCTACTGATAGGCGTCTTCGAGATGAAGCGATTAAAACTAATAAGTGACACACGCTAAATAATTAAAGTAACAGCCTGACGTGTCATTCCTATAAATTACGAAAAAGAGCGTATATCTAATCATAGTAAAAGAACATTTCAACAAAACTAAAAAATAATACTGGATTTTTTGCTATTTATTATTCCTTCACTAGGCATTATTTAATAGTCATAATATAGACTTTCGCATCATGTTGATATAAGAATAAACTACATATTATTATAACCAAAGCGTACCTGTGAAATGTCATTAGCTGATAACTGGTCAATATCTTTAGCAATATCAGCTGGTGATTTTGCATTTCCAGTGTATAATCCTTGTGCAGCCAAAGACTCGGCTAGAGAAGCGCCTTCTTCAGCCTCGCATAGAACCTGAAGTTTTAATTGGTTCTTTCCAGCTTTTATCGCATCGGCGCTAAGAGATGGATTTTTCAAAAGTTGGCCTACAGCTTTTACAGCCTGAAATGAATAAACAATATTGTTAATAAATAATTTAAGATATTTTAACCCAACTATAATGTTTATACAATTTTGTATGAATATTATATGTAAAAAATAAATATGTAATTAGCTTTCGCTTCTATTTTTAGTCGATTTACCGTCGTTATACCAATCTATTAATAAAGAATCAGTCGTTTCTAATATATACAATATTTATTACCATAATAGTTCAAACCCTACAGTATAGTGCCAAGAATGCTGGCTGCGTTTCCTTGCTGAATGGTTATACTTAGCCTCTGAGCGAGAAAAGAACCAGCCCTCACGCGCAACGAAAGACCAGTCGCAAAATTATATGTATAGAAAAAAATGCACTCGGCGGAAAAATAGGGGATGAAGTTTTTAATAATTATTACCTTGAACTTGTGCTATTCCTTAATTCACACAAATAGTTCAATAAAAATTAAATACATACATACATACACTTTCAAGCCTGTCACCTTTAACTCTTCCATACACTATTTAATATCGATTCGGTAGCTAATAAGTGGAAATTATTATATTATTTTTAGTTCTTTAAAGTCAGGTTTACTTTTTATTAAAAGTTTTTTTTTTAAACAGATATGCGCATAAGAATTACAAAATAAAACTTTATACTTACAGCATTAGCCTCATCTTTAGGTACAGAAAGTACAACACCAAATAATCCATTGTCAGAGTAAGACACACTAAAGCCAGCAGCAGCAAAGGGTCCGATATTGCCCACTGCTTTTGCCAGAGGAGAGTTGCTGGCACCCCATTTAGTGGCAGGGCCATTGCCCAAAGCTAAGGAAAGAGAGATAATTTGGTTAAACTTAAGATAAGTATAAAATAAAACAGACAACAATACAAAATTATGTAATAAAGTTATGTTACTGAAAAGTGTGGAAGCCGCATGAGAAAACTTAAGAACTTTTATCTGAGATTCATAATGAAGACATCCATAGTAGAATAACCAGAGTAACCAACATATCTCAACAAATCAGCAAGTTTATGAGGCAAAAGCCAACCATATAGCTCAAAGAACTAACAACTGATGGGGAAGAAAGGTTTTCAAGTCTATATGTTTAGCAGAGAAGGGCAGTAATGATGATGATGATAGTGATAAAATATGAAATATTTTCATATTTTCAAATGAAAATATGAAAAATAAACTTACCTTTGGCCGCAACAGCCAGAGCAAGAGACTGTGGACTACCAGCTGGAGCCCCTTGTACAGCAATAGCCACATGAGCTAAATCCCCGCCCATCTCCTTTCTGAAATATACAGGGTTATTTTTCTAAGAGTATCCAAATTTTACATTTAGTTTCAAATATATAAGTAATAACAGATTGTTATTGCAGCTTTTGAAAATACGAGTAAATAAGACTTCTACTTTTGAAATTATCCCAAATTGAATGTGATTTATGGGCAACAAATACGCATACGCGCGCTTATCTGTGTGCGATTCGATTCACAATGTTTTTGCCGATCGAGCGACCCTTACGAATGTGTGCGTGCGTAGTAAAATAATAAGCATTAGATATTTATGAATGACAATCAGTTAAAATAATGTATTAAAACGCATTCTGAATTTAAAAGATAAAAAGGACAGAATGTTTGAGATTTTTGAAGTTATATTTCTTTTGGGGCGTTTGGGAAAAATTAGGGGAGTGAAGTTGTTACGATGCGCGCGCACACTGACACCTCAAAGCAACAACTTCATTGGGTAACTGTCTCAAGTTTTCATGGGAACTGACCAAACTTCAGATACTTTTACGTCGTATTATATCATGTAGTAATACCTTTTTTACTGAGCAACCATGTGATAAGCATTAAATGTCGCGCAATCACGCAATGAGGAAACCAAGTGGCCTATATATTGATAATAGTTTTTTCAGGCATGGAATTGTAACAAATATAATAGTCAATTAAAATAAGGTTACTTTATATTCGTACCCACCTTAACTCCCCGCCATAGTAAGTTGAGCCTGCACCCTCAGCCTGGCTGGATGATGATAGTTGAAGAGTTTGTGCAACAAGTTTAGCTCTATCCTGAAAATTTAAAATGAGCTTAAACGTATTGACAAAAATAATAATATTCTTACAAGGCATTACACTTAGTCCTCAGGGATGTGACAATGCATCTGTATTCTGAATATTAATTGATGATACTGTGAATATTAATTGACATTATTACTCGTATCACACAAACTTTTATGTGTAACACACCAAAGTCAGTTGAAAGTGTAATTAGAAAGAATTTAACAGTACTTTTTTTGAATTTGAATAGTACTTTTCTGCCGACTTCAAAAAGGAGACGGTACTCAATGCGACTGTATGTTTTTTTTATGTGTGTTACTTCATAACTTTTTACTGGGTGAACAGATTTCGATGATTCTTTTTTTTTTTTTTGAAAGCTGGTACTTCACATGTGGTCCCATATGAATTTGATCAAGGTCAGACTAATAGTTTTTGTGTTATTCTTAATAATTTATATTGAAGTCTGCTGTACAAAATTTTTAATTTTAAATTATTGAAAGAAACACATTTGTTCAAGTTTAAGCATACATCACAAAATGTACAAGTAATAATATGAAAAAAAGAACAAATCAAATGTCTTAATCACATCTAAAATATAAGAAAATTACATCCATCGCCCCACTTTGTCTGGTGGGTGTAGCAAGAGACGACAATGGAATATGACATAAACCTTAGGACTTCTGATAGATGATGGTATATATCTCGTTTACGTCACACGTAAAATACCAGACTGGCGACAAGCAACAGCGTCGAAGGTGCGAGACGTCAGGTACTGCGATCGTCATCCACCTGCCAAATGATTAAGGCAAATCCTCCATACAATGAAAGATGTCCATTTCCAGCAGTGGATATGAACTGACCTCATCAGAGTTAAAATCTTAAAATAGTTTCCCCTGGAAGGAGCAACGGCAATAAATTATAAACGAACAAAAACGTAGAATAATTCATTGAAAATAAAAGGCTTAAATGAACTATGCAATAAATATCACCTTTATTACTAGTTCTTTTGCATGTCTTAATAACATAAGTATTTAATTTTTACAATTATTTTTTTTAATTACCTGATTGTCACCAATGACAGTAATGGCACAGCGACTAGGAACCAAATTGTTACTAGCAAAATGCTGAAGTGATTCACTACTGATATTTCCAATCTTCTTAGGTGCAATGAAGAGCGAATTACCGAGTCCACGACGGTAAGCAGCCTTGTGCAACAGATCAACTGCACGAACCTGATAAATTTAATTACATAATAAATTGCTTTCTTCCTATAGAGGTAGACTGGCTCAGCAGAAATTAGAATAGAATAGAATAATTTTTATGCGATATTGATTACAAGTAATTCTTATTGAAAGTAATTTTTTTCGATCACACAAAAAAAAGGCCAGATTAATTTTCGGATAAAATATAACCTAGATCACACCTGGACATTGCTCTCTATCTGTTTGTGAAATTTCATCACAATGAAGGTTGTGAACTCCACTTTTCCAAAAAATATCCTGACTTGATAGAAGCCAGTTATTTCGATATTACAGACAGACACTCCATTTTTATTCATATGTATAGATTAATTTGGATTTTTAATGTTCAGGCACTTAGAATATTATTAAGCAAGTTATAGAGCGCGCTTTAGCGAGTCAGAACTGTAAGCACGAGTCAGAACAGTCTGAAAATGGTAAGGGCGAAGTTATTAGTCACGAAAGGTCACGCGCCCAAAATTATTTCAAGTTACCATGGTGAAATGTGCAGTGCCAAGCTGCAAAAACGATTCACGGAAGCAAACTATGAAGAACAATGATATTTCTTTTCAATGGTATTTAATATTTCGATATGAAAACACTGATTTTTAACAAAATTACTTAGGGTGTCAAAGAGTGTAGCAGGAGGCGGCCGGCCGGGTCGACACAGCACGTGCCCCGCGACTCGCGGTTCGGGTTTTCCCCGAATTAGACCTAGTACTGTGCCAGGTTGTACTCAAATATTATTTAATAACATGATTTCTTTTGTAATAATTATAGTATTAGAAGTTAAGATCCTTCGTATTCCTCTCATATGGATCCATGTATAAAATAAAACTTTTGAAAAGCTTTTTTTTTAATAAAGGTAAATACGGTTAAATACTTTTCTAATTTCAGATTTCCGAAAAGCCGTGAATTGGCAAATAAATGGGTGGTAACAATAAATAGTATAAGAACAATTTTTAATGAATATTTAATGAGAGGGCTCCAAGGTAAATATAATTTGATTTAAATGTTTTTGTCAACACATACTTAATACTTATCCTTATCAAATATAGCGCGAATGTTTATTATAATATTGTAAGGCTGTTGTTATCATAAAACTAGGAACCCAACATCAGAAATTCCGTTTGTTTTAATCCATTTTAGTGCTTCGTACATTTTTGAAAGCAAGGATGGACTGCGCAAGTTGGTTGGAAGTGCAAAATTAGTGCACCTATTATTTGAAGTAAGATTTTAAAGAAATTAAAAAGTTATTTTAAAGAGATTAAAACTAGCTTCGGCAGTTATTTACGTATGTACTACGTAAGTTTACGTGCAAATGTTAACAATTTTTTTTTAAACTAAATTTTTTAAACAGTATATTGACATTAGATTAAAACATTTTGTATTTAAAACTATGATTCAAGCAACCAAACCTAATTATATAATTGTGATAATAAATTAACCCTTACCTAGGGGCCGTAAAAAAATTTTGATTTTTGTGTTTTCATCGTCTCATAAATTCGTACCTATGTTTTATTGTGCTAAAACATACCTTATTATCAACCTTCCTAATATTAGAGATATGACTAATATATTCGTTTTAGGTATACGTAATAGGTACACGGCAAAAGTTTCATATTAGGTAATACGAATGTTCTCATATTAGGTTATTCAATAATACCCAGTCATTTGACTAGGTATTATTGAATACATACGGGTCGGAAGAATAAGTAACTATTATTTAATAGTTACTTATTCTTCCGACCCGTATGTATATAAGAAAAGAACTGAAGTCTTTAAGTCTTGTACATAAAAGGAGCATAAGTTTGTATAAACATATAAAAATATTTAAAAGTAAATAAAAAACATACAACAATTAATAAAAAGCAAATAAATATAAAAAAAAAACAAGAGAAAGACATGTATTAAAAATATTTAAAAATCATGTAAATATAAATAAGGAATCATTGCAAATAAGGTGATTAATTTTGTAAATACGCCAATTCTTTTCTTGACAGTCTTAAACCTGTTAAAGTATGAAGGTAAATTTAATCACCCCATGTTTTATTATGATTATATTTATATCAATAATATGCGCGATCATTCAGCTAAATGAGCTAAACATATAATCGATAACAGTATTTTATGAACAGAAACTCTCACTATTATACTATTATTTGACTACTACCCAGTGATAGGTATAATACCATATTATTTGTAAAGCGTTATATTCGATAATAGGATTGTGAAAATTTGATAATAACATCCTAATATTTACAAATACCATAATTAAATTAATAACTTAAGTCAAACTATGCATATAATCATAAAAATTGACCAAGAACTGTCCAGTAGTTTTTGAATTATCCTTAATAATCAGTATTTAATTAACTTTGACTACATTAATGCTGTTCTCATTTTATTTATATTTAAGTCGGTTGTGCAAAATTTTTTACCATTTGTCCTTAGTAAGTTTACGACACTTACGAGACTCATACTCAAAGTGGGATCCCCACATCAATCTTTGCACATCACTATTCAAGTGTTCTATGTATCAGTATCTATAGATTTTTTGACCTGATGGTTAGTGGTTGCTGTGGCCTATAGACATCTACATCTATCCTGGTTTGCAAATCAAAACGCAGATGCGTTGTCACCCGTGAGGACAAAGATGGAATGCCTCTTTTCCAGTAAAAAGGGTCTCCGGATCTCTAGTCACCATATGAACTACACAGCAGTGCACTAACACAGCAGTGTTACGCTGCCATTTTACGCTGGTATTCCGTGAGAGCGTAGTCTTTCGCCGGTCGAGACGACTCATTCCTGCTACAACTATACTACTAATATAGCTGCAGCATGGCTCTACCATGTATAAAATAATCATCAAAACGAAGATCATCTGGTTACACTTGACATAACGGACAATGAGCGATACATGCACTCTATAGCTTGCTTATTTATACTTAAAGTTCAACCACATTTATCAGAATATCTATTGATTCTACGCTCCATTGGGGAGCAAATATTGACGGCTGGCTTCAAAGTATTAAAGAGTGATTAAGCAACAAACAAATTAGCCTTACTCTGCTTACTTTCACAGTATTATGTGTCATGTGTATTACGGCTCTGCTACAGGATTGCAATTAATATTCATTCAGCAAAATCAAGCAATACAGGCAATCTATAACTTGGGACCATGCGAGTTGTTTACGCAACCTTTTTAAAGATACTAACATTGCTTGAACAATAAATAAAACTTAATATTTAGAATAAATTAAAGGGATACACTAGAGGCTCCTAAATTTGGATTTGCTAACACTAGATAGTCTTTTCGAAGTAAATGCATAAGATATTTACAATAAAATCTGAAAATATTTACATTTTTAGCAGTTAGACGCCCATTAACGGAAATCAGCAATTATGTAATTGATTAAGCTATGTGATTGTCAATTTTATGTTACCTGGGGAGGAAGAGCAGCAATATCATATCTAAGGCGGGGCACATTGTCACTCAGCTCCCATGGCCGGAATTCTTGATTAGACACAATGTTGTTGAGATATTCCAAAGCAGTTTGTAAATTGTCTTGAGTGGCCTACAAAGATAATTATTGACAATAACAGGTTATTTATATGGCTTAGACAAGTACCAACGGGGTACGGTTCTATACACTCATTAGCACACATACACAGCAGCATTAAACTGCTATTTTATGTTGGTATTACGTGAAAGCGTAGTCTTTCTCTGGTCGAGTCAACCCATTTATGCTACTACCATAATAAAGCTACTACAGTGTGGCTCTACTTCATTAACATTTCTATATGGTGACAACATATTTAGGTTTAACTATCAATTTCTTATGTCAAAGGGCATTTCATTTAGCGCACACTATAACTTTTTAACAACAATAAAATAAGCAAATTATTTTTTACCTCCAGAGTGTAATAAATAAATTCACGGTCACCAGATGCAGTAAATGATGCACCGATTTGCGCTAGTTGTCTGCGAATCATGTAGGCACTGGCATTTTTGGTTGTTAGACCAGCTGCAGAACGAAGCATATGAGAAAGTCCGAGTTCAGTTTGTGGTTCATACCGGGAGCCAGCTCTATAAATAAAATATAGTATTTAAATACAGAGTTATTTTTTAAAGAGTAGCCAAATTCTCCTTTGATATTTGCTACAATTTCGGGGAGTGATCTTTTCGTTCTAAATAGTAAGCAGCCTTAACACGTATATGTCGCCAGTCCAGGATTACAAATTAGAATTAAATTACAAGGTAATAATATTCACTGATTGATAATTATCCAGTTATTATCCAGCAATATAATGTGTAAAAAATATTTTAATAGTTACAAATTCTTTCATTTCAAAAAAAAATGCTCTATGTTTGATACAATCAACAATAACAAAATTTATAAAAATCAACATTATTTGTCACATTTCCAATATCACAGACTTCAAAATCACACATAGGAATAAATGTTAATATAATTGATAATTATAACTTTTTTTTTATAGGATAGGGTGACAAACGAGCACACAGTCCACCTGATGGTAAGTGGTTCTGTGGCCCATAGACATCTACATTTATCCTCATTTGCGAATCAAAATGCAGATGCGTTGTCACCCGTGAGGACTAAGATAGAATGCCTCTTTTCCAGTAAAAAGGGTCTCCGGTTCTCTCCACTCACCATACGAAACACAGCAGCATAAAGCTGCTATTTGACGCTAGTATTCTGTGAGAGCGTGGTCCTTCCCCGGTCGAGCCGACCCATTCATGTTGTAGCATATACTACCAATATAGCTGCAGCATGGCTCTAACACGTATAAAATAACTAAAAATAACTACATAATTATCAAGGTAATTATTGTTGATAATAATCCCTTGCAGTCCTTAGTCACATTTTAAATGCAATACTATGTACAAAGTGACTGACATGGCAGCAAAAGGGTTAAACTGATGTAATAAACAACATAGTCAATGTGCTGGTGTTGACTTTGTTTTCCTCTCTCTTCTAAATAGTGTGTCCTGGTCTTGGCACAAAGTACAGTTTTCTAATCTAGAGTCCACAGCTCTAAGCAGCGATAAGGGCTTTTTGTCCAAATTAAAAATAAAATAGCAAAAATGTAGCACAACAACCATGTATATATTTTAAGTGATGTAATATCAGTTAATTTTATTTATATTTGCAAAGTACAAAAATTGTAATGTTTAAATTTTATTAAATCTCAACAACTTATTTGGACAAAATACAACCCTTTAAATATGTATGCTTACGTCAAATGAGCTAGATTATTATGAGAAAAATATGAGTTTCTATGTGCTGAAATTTTGTATACATAAGTTTAAGAATTAAAAAAATGGTTGGTATCTTGGAAAAAGTAGATCTTTCAAACAGTTATTTGAAAGTGCTAGCCTTGGCTAGTAAATCTGAAGTTGAGCTTGAATATTTATCGAAGGAAAAAAGAATTTCCACTTACTTAAAAGCTATCGTTACTCGAGTAACCGGTGATCCATTGTCAAGAGCTGCAATAAATGTTTTGTTGGGCAAAACACTTGACTGTAGCCTAACATCCCTCTTTACAGCTGGTGCAGCCTGGGCATATCCCCTGCTCTGAAGTAAAACTTAATTAGTTGTTGATTTGTTGAAAATTATAGTCTATAATCCCTTTCATTGTAATATCATATCTAAAGTCAATTGCTAAACCTAAACTACCCCTAAAATTGCATATTATTTAGATTCTCATTCAGATTATGAACATTTTATATAAATAAATATATTTAATGAGTACAATTAAATATGACTGTTACCATTTCAGAAACAAGATATGAAAAATTAAGGTTTTACATAATAGGCGTTTGACGTATGGAATTAAATTTTTTATATTAGTTTTAGTGGTTTCCAATAAATACAATGTTTTACATTTACCGTAACGTGACGAATAAAAGGGTTGGCAAGTGCTTTAGAAGACATTTTTAACTTATTTCGGAATATTAGCTGATTATGAAAATAATTCGCAATTGCTGGTGCCTCGATTGTCGATTGACGTTTAGAATTAGAATCATAGACTTCCTGTAGGATTTTTTTAAATAACTGGCTTTACGGATATGGGTTCTAGCTCTTCTGAGCCTGAAGTTACAAAATATAATTATCCTTCAAGTACGCTGCTTCACAACAGCACAAAGAAGTTGGCTTGGAAGTATGACTGGTCAAATTAATGAATAGGTGCACATAATTGCTCACTAAATGCTCAATTCAAATCTGCAATTGCTCACACTATTAATTAATTATTTAAATAGTTATTAATAATTTAAAATACAGAATTTTTTTGTCTAATAAACTTAAAACCAATAAACTTTTTTTAAATGAATAACTGCTCATAATTGCTCACAAAATGCTTAATTGAAATCGGCAATTGTTCACACTATTAATTAGTTATTTAATTACTTATTAATTTAGCAATTGCGGATTTGAATTGAGCTTTAACTGAGCAATTATGAGCACTTATTCATTAATCTGAGTGGTTTAGGAAAAAACTATTTTGTATTTTAAATTATTTATAACTAATTAAATAATAAATAAATAGTGTGAACAATTGCGGATTACAATTAAGCATTTTATGAGCAATTATGTGCACTTATTCATTTTTAAATTGGTTTATTGTTTTTAAGTATAATAGACGAAAACAATTTTGTAATTTTTATTATTAATTATTAACTAAATAATAAAGTAATAACATGAGCAATTGCAGAAGTGAATTGAGCATTTAGTGAGCAATTATGAGCACTTATTCATTAATCTGAGTGGTTTAGGAAAAAACAATTTTGTAATTTAAATTTTTAATAAGTAATTAAATAATTAAATAATAGTGTGAACAATTGCGGATTTCAATTAAGCATTTTGTGAGCAATTATGAGCACTTATTCATTTTTAAATTGGTTTATTGGTTTTAAGTATAATAGACAAAACCATTTCTGTATTTTAAATTATTAATAACTATTTAAATAATAAATTAATAATTTGAGCAATTGCGGATTTGAATTGAGTATTTAGTGAGCAATTAAGTGCACCTATTCATTGATTTGACCAGTCATACTTCCAAGCCAACTTCTTTGTGCTCTTCACAACATGTTGATGCGTCACATCGTGCAGCCCTTGGGAGATTTATACAGTGAGATAGAAAAGGATAGCAAATCTCATGATTCTGTAACTGATTTTGAATGACAGGTCGAAATAAGTCAAATGGCATGGAATAATTTCCTAGATATTTTATCATTTTTTAGAATATAATAGTGGTTATTTGCAGTGACTAATTATTTTCCAAAATGGTTACTTGTTCTGGGAGTGACTGTGGGGTAATAATATAAATAATCCTGATAATTGCACATTTTACAGGTAAATTGTCAAGACATTGTCACTGTTGTGATGCGTCTATTTTCTTTAATATAAATAAAATTGATGTTATACACTGTTTAAAATATAGAACATTTATTTTTTTTTTGGTAATTTTGATATTTTGTAAAGAAACAAGTCACGTTGTTGATAATTTGTTTCTTCTGCATATCAATGATATGTTGCTAACTGGTAACATTCATTGCTATGCGGATGACAGCACTGGTGATGCTCTATACACCGGCCGTGCCAATATTTCTCGGGAAAACGTCGCTGAGTACCGGAACAAACTTGTGTCTGAAGTCGAGTCTTTGCTGAACAAAGTCTCGGATTGGGGGCGATTAAATCTAGTCCAATTTAATCCTCAGAAGACACAAGTTTGCGCGTTTACCGCTAAAAAGAACCCCTTTGTCGTATCTCCTCAGTTTCAAGGCACTCCCCTTATGCCTCAGCCAGTATCGGTATCCTCGGAGTCGACATATCGAGTGACGTGCAGTTTCGTGGTCACTTGGAAGGGAAGGCCAAATTGGCCTCTAAAAAGCTTGGCGTGCTCAGCAGAGCGGGACAGTATTTCATGCCGGCACACCGCCTGCTACTTTACAAGGCGCAAGTTCGGCCTCACATGGAATACTGTTCCCATCTCTGGGCAGGGGCTCCCCAGTGCCAGCTCCTTCCACTTGACCGCATCCAACGCAGGGCGGCTCGAATTGTCGACGACCGAGCCCTTTCCGATCGGCTCGATTCATTGGCACTGCGAAGAGATGTTGCATCCCTTTGCATTTTCTTTCGCATCTACCATGGGGAGTGCTCTGAGGAATTGTTCGGATTAATCCCAGCCGCCAAATTTCACGAACGCACATCGCGGCAGAACTCCCGATACCATCCACACCATCTGGATGATTGGCGGTCCACCACAGTGCGATTTAGAAGATGTTTTCTTCCTCGCACGACCTCCTTGTGGAATCGATTACCATCAGCGATTTTTCCGGACCGATACGACTTAGGGACCTTCAAGAAAAGAGCGTACTCCTTTTTAAAAGGCCGGCAACGCATCTGCGAATCCCCTGGTGTTGCAGTTGTTCATGGGCGGCGGTAGTCACTTGCCATCAGGTGAGCCGCATGCTCGTTTGCCCCCTCTCCTATAAAAAAAAGAATAATTTGCATAATTTTGGTGAATACATTTCTAAACAAAATATTTTACATGTACGCAAAGGATTGTCTCAACTATATTAAAATCAATGTCGATATTTATCTTCAACGTTTATAAGGAATCGATAGACTTGCCCACATAACAAGAAGACTAAAAACGTAATTTTATTTTGCCATTAATAATTAAAAATTATTTATATTCGTTCATTAAATATTATGTTATTATATATATTATTCATATATTTATATAAATGCTATTTAATAATAGGTGCGTTTTTCGTTATTGTAACCACTTAGTTTAAAAGCAATAAAAAGTTATCTATCTATTTATCACTTGATACTGAGATAAATGAAGACATGGCTTATAAAACATACATCCAAACCAAAAATCTTATTAATAAAATGTCAACGTCAATGTCAGCGTAATAGTTTGACGTTTGACGCTAAGTTTAGATTTTAGAACCAAGAAATATCGGCGCCAAATTCTACCACATGAAAACTACATATTGTAATTCTTGTATAGATTATTATGTAAAACAATATCAGTGGATATAACAAATCGTCGCAATGTGATATTCAAATTTAATAACATTTTGTTCCATTGTTGTTGAAAAATCCTGTTTTTAGGAAACGTTTCATAGGAAGATCTGAAACCAACTGAAACTGAATATTTAAAACAGAGATACATACGTTCTCATCTCATGTAATCTTCATCAAACATCCCTTCGGAGGAGTGATGTCAATTTGCTTGGACACTGTTGTTGCTGGAGATATAGAAAAAGTTTCTAAATCATATGAAACAGATTTAAATAAAAATGCTAGAGTTGTTTTAAAATGTAATGAAAAGGTTTTAAAACCAAAGTGTAATAAAGAGCTTAAGCGGAAGCTTAAGAAATATAAGCTTAGGAAGCATGGAAAGGAAGACCAAGAAATTATTGATGTTTCACAAACTTTTAATAGTTCTTTGACTATTAAATCTCCTAATAATAATACAAAAAGTGTTACAATAGATACCTTACAGAACAGTGACCTATATTTATTGGATAATATCCATAGTTTCAATATGGGTAGAAGAAAAAAAGATAACTATAAAACCAACTCAATTGTGGAAAAGGTCATTAATCCCATTGAAGAAACTGATTCTTCTATTACAAATGCAGATAAAGAAGATAAGAAACAAATGGATGCATTTAAATTGTTGATGGATTCTCGAAATAAGATAATTGGGAGTAATTCACCTGGCAAACTAAAAAATTCTGGTGAATGTAATGTGCAAGATGTTATTGAAAAAAAGGAAATTAAAGCAAGAAGGATTTTGTCACTGCAAAAGATGGCACAAGCTAAAGGTGCTCTACAAAAACAAGAGATGGAAGAATTGAGAGAAACTTGTATCAAGCAAAAAATGGAAGAGAGGGCTGAAAGGTTAAAAAGTATGATAAGTAAAAATGATTTAGCTTTAGCAAAACATGTTAAAAATCCACAATCCAAATCTAATACCACAGATAAAAAGTCAGATCAAACACATATAAGTAAAATAGGAAATATTTTGAATACAAAAAATAATTCTTATAATCATGACAAAACTCCTAACTTTTCCAATAACAGTATACCAATAAATAACAATGGTAATACAACTATGTCACAAGAGGAAGAAGAATTTCTCAAAAAATTATCACCATCTTTAAAAAAAAAGGAAAATATGCTTTGTTATTTTAAAAAAGTCCCAAAAGATACTGAAATTTCCATAGATAACAGTCATACCGAAAATATCAATAGTAATCAAACAATTATTAAAGTGAAATTCACACCTAAAAATAAAAAGAAAAAGAAATTGGATCTTATTGAAAATAATTTAGTTAACAACAACCAAGATATTAAAAGTAAACTTAAGGATGATAATATGCCAAAAGAAGATTGTCTTTCTGAAAATGCTGCAGTAAATGAAAACACCGATGAAAGAAGAAAACGGAAAAGAAAGAAACATATTAAAGAAAGTGTAAATGTTGATTCTGTAGAAATATCACCCAATGATACTAGACCCAAAAGGAATATAAGAAAACCTTTGAAATATGTTGATGATATTTTTGTAAGTTCAGATGAAGAATTACATATCTTCACACCAAAAAAGAAGAAAAACTTGGACATTAAAAGTGATTCATTACAACCCAATAGAGATAACAATATTAATGAAATTAAGTATCAAACATCAGAAAAAATTAGTTTACAATATGTAAATAAAAGAAAATCTAAACCTAATAGAACAGATAAAAAACAACCAAAATTGGCACCAATATTCACAACAAAATCACAAGTGACTGCTGAGGAACTTAAAGCTAAACAAAAATTTCTTCATAGTGGAATACCCAGCCATATTAAGAAGAATACAAGTCAGCAAGCTAATACTACATCGGGTTGTGATGTTTTTCATACTG